AGATGCAGTGGGAAGACGTGGTTAAAAAGACACACATGTGTTTACCTGCCAGTACTACAAAGCCCCAAAGGCATTAGGGTTACACAGGTGAAGTGTGTGAAGAAAGAGGGAAACAACCTGGGGATTGAGAAAACAGATGGTGGATTGTTTGATCTTCTGCCAGACAAACCCAGAGTAGATGTGTGGACCAGGTCATTACGATTCTGAAATGTAACACTGTGTTTCATCATTGATGTTATAATAAAAGCCTGGTATGGAAGCATCTACTATCACCCACTGCCATACTAGCTCTTGTGATACATATTTCAACCCTTGTATCGAGGATTCGAAAAACCATTAATTCTCCAACTAAGTTGTAAACCATTTTGGTGAAGAGTTTTAGCTCTTGGGCAGTATAGAAATAAAAAATAGAGGTCACTTCATACTTTGAATCTGTTTACAAAGTTTTTCCAATTGGTAGGTAGCAATATTTCATAGTCAAAGTAAACCTTCCACATGTTTCCCCCTCTGGAGAATTCCTTTAGAAAATGGCTACAAGACTAGTATTCTGTTGTGCCCTGTAGAAAGCAGTGAGTGTGGGAAAAGTGCACAACCCACACTGCATGTTCCCCTGTTGGCCATGCAGGCATTCCCTCCATGTAGCCAATCAGAATGTGGGGATCTCCCCACAGGAAACCAAGATGGCCTTTATTGCTGTAAAGCTGATTAGGCTTTGCTGACTCTGCAGTCAGCATTTAGAAAATAATTTCTAGATTCTCTGTGCAAAATGAGAATGGATCATATTCAGAGATGTGATGATGCAAATAGAACACTGCAACTTCAAAAATAATTAAAATTGAACATTCTAAGCTAAATGTATAAGTCTGATGTAAATGTATATGTTGAACAATTCTGCATGTTGAAATTTTAATATCATCGGGTGCTGTGTTCTCTGTGTTAGATACTTTAGATGAATACTTTGAATATGAAGCTGAGGAGTTCCTCATCAACTTGGCCTTGCTGATTACGGAAGGTAGAACACCGGAATATTCTGTCAAGGGTAGGACTGAAGGCTTCCACTGTCCTCCAGCACAATCAAGTCAGCCAGCCACAACGAAGCATGTATGCAATGACAAATTGGCCCAGGTATGATGGTCAGTTGTTTAAATTGTCATTGTTTGTTGTTGCTAGTCATGAAGTCGTGTCCTACCCATCGTGACCCCATGGACAACATTCCTCCAGGCCTTCCTGTCCTCCACCATCCCCCGGAGTCCACTTAAGCTCACACTCACTGCCTCAGTGACTCCATCCAGCCACCTCATTCTCTGCTGTCCCCTTCTTCTTTTGCCATCTATTGTTCCCAGCATTAGGCTCTTCTCCAGGGAGTCCATCCTTCTCATTAGGTGGCCAAAGTATTTGAGTTTCATCTTCAGTATTTGGCCTTCTAAAGAGCAGTCAGGGTTGATCTCCTCTAGGACTGGCTGGTTTGATTGCCTTGCAGTCCAAGGGACTCTCAGGAGTCTTCTCTGGCACCACAATTCAAAGGCTTCAGTTCTTCGGCGCTCAGCCTTCTTTATGGTCCAACTTTCACAGCCATACATTTCAGCAGGTTCTTCCAGCAAATGCTATTTGCTGTTGTGATTAACATTTTTAGATTGAGCAACGCCATTTTGCATGAACACTTTTAGTATTTGTGATTTGAGCTCATGCTATAAGGCTTGCTACCTGAAAGCACGTAAGTGAAACAGAAAAACAGAGGGAAGATTCAATACACAGGACTTCCCTCAATGTTAGTGTTTATTATTACATTTGTATCCTGCCTTTTATCCTCCTGCAACCAACCCGAGGTGGTTACCTTGTTGTCCTCTTCTCCATTTTATCCTCACAACAGCCTTGTGAGGTAAGTTAGGCTGAGAGTCAGTGGCTGACCCAAAGTCACCCAGCGAGCTTCATGGTTGAATGGGGACTTGCCTCCAGATCTCCCGAGTGCCAGTCCAGCCCTCTCACCATGATACCACATCAGCTGACTTGCTGAAAAGAGAACTTCAGAATGCTTCATTCAGCTTGAATCCCTTGATATCACATGAGCAGATTTTGTGCCCTAACATTCAAATACCCTTGAAGATGTAGAACACCCGAAACTGAAAGAATACTACAAAATCAAATGGGTCGAAGCTATACAGTGGTCATGGTGTTTTGAAAACCTGGCCAAATTCCTGAAATTTTGGGTTCAAGTCTATAGTGGCTGGGCTATTTCTAGCTAAATAACCTTTTCAGGTTGCTTGAGGGATAGAATTTTGAAAGTCATTTGGGTCTGGTCATACCTCCCTTGCTCAAGAACTTCTTCAGAAAGGCATTATAGACTTTCTTTCCATTGTGCAGTGCTAGAATCGGAAAGTGTGTGCATGGTAGATACACAAAGCCAATTTAGATCTAATATTGTATTTTCTGATTGTTTCCAGTGTCGTCAAGCCAAGCGGACTAGGTCTGAGGTGACGTTGCTGTGGAAGAATAATATTCCCATCATGATAGAAGTGATGCTACTTCCAGACTGTTGCTATAGTGATGAAGGACCCACCACAGAAGGGAATGACTTGAATGATCCTGCAATCAAGCAAGACGCATTGTTGCTAGAAAGGTGGCTTTTGGAGCCAGTTCCACGACAGTAAGTTTATATATGAGCATTGCTTTAGGGTTCCGTAAGGGTATGGAATACTTTCTGAATAGGAAGGTGGTATATATGCCTATGTGTTTTCGTTTGGCTTGTTTTGGGCCTTTGTGCCCTTTTGTAAGATTCCTTGCAAATGTGGGGAAGATAGTGAATGTTAAGTCGATCATTTTGCTGCGATTTTAAATATCCATAGTTCATTATAGTGAGATACGTGCAAATGGCTTATGATTGCTGGAAAGAATCTACAAGGAGGAAAATCAATAAAACCTTTCTCTTATAGATTATTTATTAAATTGTGTGTCCAATTTTACCTTAATGTTTATAGTCTCTGTTTAAGTAGTAATATTTTGTGGGAACACTAGAAATTAGTGGATTTTGCTGGATTTTGGAAAAAAAACTGAATTTTGCTATTTAATGCTGCTTTCTTGGTCAACCCAGTGTCTTTGTACACTTTTAATTTTCAAACACTTTTTATGAGTGTAGGAAAGGAATTAGAGCAACAAGTTATTGAGCATATTTTTTTCATGTTTTGGATAATTGCTGTCAAGCCAAGCTACTTTGTTTTGTTGCCTTTTCTATATAAACTTTTTCACCAACACATATCTGTTTCTCTTTGATGTATATTTTAGAAGTGGTGATCGATTTATTGAAGAGAAGACCCTCTTATTGGCTGTCCGCTCTTTTGTGTTCTTTTCTCAGTTAAGTGCTTGGTTGAGCGTTTCACATGGAGCAGTTCCTCGTAATATTCTTTACAGGTAGGTTCTTAGAAGCTTTTATGTGGTTGTTCTGTTTGTGTTACACTGCATGACCTTGTCTGGAAGATGATTAGGTTTTTTTAAATCAGCCTCTATCTATCTGTCTCTCTATTTATCTATCTCTGGTTTTTGTATGCCATTCCAATTACTAAAAAAAGTCTCTGGGTGGCTTATAGAGAACAAACCAAAAAACAGAACCCATAACAATGACCAAAACAGAAAAGAAAATGAAAGAAAAAGTGCACTGCATCTAAAATAGGAATAAAAACAAGAATAAAACCAGCTTAGTTATTAAAATACTGCAAAAATAAAAAGTGTTTTTATTTTTTAAGAAAGTATGTACATATGTGTTCACTGTGGCCCTGGAAATTGTGCAGCGATTGTATTGCATTGTGTATGAAGTTTCTAATACACCTTTTTTAATTTTTCAGGGTAAGTGCTGCACATGTAGACCTGCAGTGGATGTTTTCCCAGACACCAACTGGGCATTTTTTCCCGGTTCCTAACGTTTCTCACAATGTGGCCTTGAAAGTCAGTGTCCAGTCTTTGCCTAGACAATCTAACTATCCAGTTCTGACCTGCAGTATTCATACCAACCTTGGCTTTTATGAAAAGAAAATCGAAAAGCATAATGTACGTCAGCACTGTGATTCCATCAAGGCAGAACAATGCGGTCTACCCACCTTGCAGCGTGCTTGTGGCAAACTGATGTGGACGGAAGGAGTGCTTGGGGTAAAAAAGGGCCCTGAATTTACGACAGCTGTCAAAAATCCAAAACGTTTCCCAACAACGGGGCTTGTACCTGACTTTGGGGCTTCAGAGTCTAAAGTTCCGTGTTATACAGCTGCTGTTGACAGTAAGAAGCTACCACAAGATGCATCAGAGAGAGCTTTAAAATCTTTTTGCTTAGCTGACTCCCACCTACATAATGGCTACTCTTCTCGCCAGTCGCTGGGAGAATCTATTCCTTTAATCGGTTCTTTACTCCAAGAGCGGCAAGAAGTCATAGCAAGGATTGCACAACATTTGATACACTGTGATCCAGCAACTTCACCTGTCATGAGACGACCGTTCAGCACGAATGAAACCGGTCTGGTAAACTCCAAAGTTACATGCAGTGTATACGAAGAGCAAAGTTCGCTGAAGAAAGGAAAAGAATTGTCCTCTATTTCTACTACTAACTCAGAACTTGCATCTTCAGAAAGCAGCAGTGTTGGAAAAGCTCAAATAATAGCAGAAACACCATTGTCTGATTGCTCTGTCCCAATGAACCAGTGCTCCTCCCAAGCTGTAGAGGAACCGAACTCTCTCATAAGCTCTTTACTTCTTGAGAGGCAGGAGGTTATAGCAAGGATTGCCCAGCACCTAATTCACTGTGATCCACCCGTGCCGCAAGTCACTCATTCGGTGTTTAATATCCATGATATTAGTTCCATTAATCCAAAGGCTTTTCACAATTCCTGTGAAGAAGACAACCTGTTGAATAAAGGCAAAGAACTCTCTTCAGAGCCGTTCTCTAGCTCAAGATTGACTTTATCAGACGATAACCAAAAAACAAACAGTAAAACACCAGCAACCCCTTTGAGTTCATTTAAATATGATGCTGAATTGAAGGTATCACTAAATTCCCAAGTAAGAAGAAAACTGCTTCTAGCAGAGCCCAATGAAGTAGTCCAAAATACATTTCAGCAGGTTCCTACCAATAGAAATCAAAGACCGTTAACTTGCATGAACCAATCATGTAGCAAAGAAGATTATAAATCAGAATTGGCAGATAAACTAGAATTTATAATTTCTGGTTGTTCTCAGAAGCCTCAGGTGGCAAAGAAAGGTATTTCCAAGCAGTGTTCACATTTCAACAATAATGATGAACTGATCTGTACAGATAAAATTAAGGACAGAACAATCAGTAGCGAAAACATGAAACGAGACTGTTTAAGCAATGCACAGTTGGATCAGTCCAAAATACCTGAAAATATGAAAGTGACTGTAACACAGGCATCTGATAGTTTGCACAAAAATGAGTTTAAGCGCTTAAATAAGGACTCTCAACAACCAAATCTTTGTGAGCAAAACTCTCAACTCACTAGCATTGAAAACTATTTACATAAAGACCATGAAAGTTTCAAATGCAAAAATAAGCAAGATAAAGTGAAAAATGTAAATGACGAGAATGAAGACCCAACAGACAATGAGGTGCAGAGACGTTCTCAGAAAAAGCCTGTAGAAGACTGCTTTGTGGCTTTGCTTGGACAGAAGAAGAACACAGAAATGCTGGTGTGTGTGTTTATGTTGTGTGTCTGCTTATGTATCTTTTTATAAATAGACTGAGCTGCTATCTTTCTTCCTGCCGACCTCCAGGAGTGTTTAAGATGAGGTACTGCCTTCTTGAGGTCTTTGCAGGAGACATCTATAGCTGTTTTTTTTAAACTAGCAAAAGGCAGCCTGCTGAATGATATAAATCATTCCTTCATGAAAGATGGTTGGGGAAAAAAAAAGAAAAGATTAGTCCCTGGCTTTGTATTGTTTTGGCTGCAGTAATTTTAGCTATAGTGTTATTTTCATGAATGATAGATGGTGCCTACCTGTTCCTCTCCTTATCATAAGAACTTTAAGGATGACTATAACGTTTTGTTTGTCAATTGAAATCCTTATATTTTACATTATCTCAGTCAAAAATCATATTCATACTTTCATGTGGAGTTTAGTATTTGTTAATTGTTGTGTTCTTTGCTAATAGAAGACACAGAAAGTATGTAGAAGAACTCTGTATATTGTGGCTTATTCCAAAAGATGATCTTTTAGCCCAGAATGCCATATTTGTGTAAACAGATATCTCAGGTCTTGAGGGAAAGCACCTTGGTTCCCTATTGTTCCTCAACTTGTATTTGGCAAGTCTAGGATCAGTTACTTAATGATTGCTGGATTTTACAAATAAACAAGTTTTACTTCGCTTCCAAAGTAATGCAAGTCAAAAGCAAATTAACATGTGTTAACTACTTAGATCAAAATGTGAGTTCCATTTTTAAATGGAAGTTGACAATTTAGGCTTTTGAATGGATCTGTAATCTTAAAATAAGCCACTTGAAGATATATTTACAAGGGGACATGCAACCGGGATAGCATTTTATGTCCTGCATTGGATCTTCTTTCTGTAGCACAGAAACATAGGGAACCAACATGGAGTAACTTCCCAGTCCCACCTGTTCTCCTGCATATGAATTCTAAAACTAGGCTTGCTTCGGAAGGGCTATTGCCCATTGGCAATGCAGAACTGGGAGAACTGGATTTTAACTAGAAGGGTTTCCTATTAATAACCGATTATTTCCTCCCTATGGATAGAGAACACCATCACTCAAACATGTATGGCACAAAACTAATTTCCGCCATTTGGATGGGACTTCTACTAAGGCTTTTCATCCTCGGACTGGATTGCCTCTACTTTCAAGTCCTGTAAGTTGCTATTATATAGCATTGCCCTTTTCCTCATTCCCTGCACTCTTGTTGTTTTCTCTGCTTTTTAATCCTAGTAGCTTTTAATGCTTAGATTCTTCGTAATAATGTCGTAAGTTTCATGCTGATTTTAGATTTTGTCTGTTTGTGTATTATTTTTATTTATTTATTTAAACCATTTTTATGCTGCCCCATTGCAAAAGCCTCGGGGCGGCTTACAACAGTAATAAATAAACATAAATAAACAATTTGTACAATTAGAGTTAAAAAATGGGAAGCATCTCGGAAGCATTTTTATTTTATTACTGGAAACCACCCAGAGAATGGTCACTGGGAAGTGCATAAATTTTGCAAGTATATAAATAAAAACCAGCTGGTATTTTGGTTGTAGTAACTTGCTGTGGTATTACAGCCATTAAAATATTTACAGGTGTAAAAAATGCACTTTTAAAAGAAAAACGTGATAGGCCATAATGTTTGGTAGGCAGTAACGATTATAGTGATGACCCTTGCTCAGGGTTAGATTTCTTCTTTTTGGAAATGTGGCCAAAAAGGACGACAATTCAGACCTGAGGACAAGAACTAAGCTGGTTCTGGCTCTGATCAACAGACAACACTTCATAAAAGACTCTCCCTTCTGATGCTATCAGTTCAGACAGTGCCTTCTGAATGTTGAGTGAGGGGGGTACCTTGAACAGATTTTTTTTTCCTCTCCCCAGAGGGAGGGGGATTATGTCAGATCTTGTTGGACAGACCACCCACAGCCAAGGACTACTTTGGATATAGCCCCCAAGTAGTAGATGCAAGAGAGCTGCCTTCACACCCTCATGCCATATGTTTGCATGAGCAGAATCCCAGTGAAAGGATAGGCCTCATGCAGATAACTTTGCCGAGCCGGGATGCAGTTGACACGTTCTGTATATAGTTGGGACTGTTCTTAGCTAACTATATACCTTTAGATTGCTGTCATGCACCCCCGTACAGAGATACATTGGCGCTCCAGTATATGCACACTCCGTGTATATTTGCCCCAGTTAATTTCAGAGCAGAAAGGCAGCCTGCATCACAGATTGTCAACTACTTGAATGAAAAGAAAAGTGAACCAATTTATCTGGCCGTCAAGCTGTCCATTTTAGGCCTCCTTTTAAGGCCGTCTTCTGCAGTACCTGGAACAAATGCCTAGCTGGGAAGTAGCGAGCAGGCTCTGTTGTTGCAGTGCTCCTGTTACACACATTTCCTTATTTACAAGGAATAAAAGTGTGTGGTGATGTCAGTGTGACAAACAGTAAAAAGGAGTGCAGATAAAAGCATGAAAGGATGCCTTAAAGGCAAAACTAGTAGAAGAGCGAAAAAGCATGGCTGGTTATCTCAAACAAAAGCACGTTCAGGAGCTGCAAGGAATAATGCCAGACAGGTTGCCTGCCTTGACTGCCAGGCACAGACATGGAGCTGCCACTCTGAAGGCTCGACTCTGGGCAGAGGCCAGCCAGGCCATGAGTCCGTCTGGAACCACCAGGGACATGCCACCTGACAGCCTCAATGACCAGGCAGGTTGGTAAGGGAGAAGCTGCTGTCGCAGAGATCCCAGTCCCAAGCTGCTTAGGGCATTTGCACATGACTACCAAACTCTTACATGCAATAAAGCATTGTGAAACAAAACACTGAATTTGCTTATCAAAATGTCAAACTCGATTTCAGGGTGTTTCCAGGTGGAAGGCTTCTAGCGCTTCTAATTAGAAGGCATTGTGCAGCTATTCCATCTTTTTCTCCTTAACGGATTTTCTGCGGTAAGAGAAAAGACGGAAGAAGCGTTGTGAGTACACGAGGGGATTCTGAATGGAAGACGACTGTCTGTTCTCCCTGTAAAATTCCAGGGTAGGCAGAGTAGTGGCATCATAAAAGCCTTGTCTGGAAGCACCCTGAGCTCCTGCAGCCAAAATAACTCTGTTTTTCTTTTTTCTCCTTCTGATACCCCTTGAGGTTCCCGAAAGGAAAACACGATCGGGATGCTTTGATCTAGATGCATCGCTATTGCATCTAAAATATTTGTCCTCTAAAAGGTATTTTTAAAAAAGTTTTCTGATGTTTCTATGTTTACAAACATTATCTGTAACCCTAGAATAAATAAGAGGAAGCATTTTGAAAAAAAGCAAATACTCAACTAATTGGACTACACTCAATTCAAGCATATTGTAACATATTGCTGTCCTTAAATTGTATTTTACTTAATCAACTGCAAGGCACAGTTTTAAGTTACAGAAGCACCATCTTAAAACGGGCACCCTTTCTTGTGTGAGAGTGAAGGGGGAATACTGCTTTTAAGATAATACACGATGCAAAATGTATGAACACCACACAAAACCCTCAGTTTTTTTTCAAAACTGTTAGTATATGCAAGTGTATGTAGGTTAATTTCCAATACATTTTAGTTCTGATTAAGATTTCTCTACTCAAATGATGCCTTTACTTTTAAAAAAGTTTTTAAAAACCATTGTTGTTATTTCATTTCTATACTGCCCTACAGCCAAAGCTCTCTGGGTGATTTACAACAATTCACAAAAACAGACAGCAAAAATACAATAAAAATCATAAAATTGAGAGTTCCAAAATATTGAGTGCTATATAATTTAGCAAGGATTTATTTATTTGTTTGAAACATTTTAATCCCATCTATATCTGAGATGGATCTCAAGACAGCTTACAAAACCAAAAGTGTAACAGCACAATAGAAAACATAATTTCAATATATAAAAATATGTAGTGAAAACAATTTTATTATATAATAAAATCATTCAACCATTAAAATGCTGGGTAAATGAAAACACTTTCATTTGGCACCAAAATGAATACAGTGTCGGCCCCAGGCAAACCTCTCTGCGGAGAAGATTCCCTAGCCGGGGTACTACCACAGAAAAGGCCCTTCCGTGGGTAGTGACTCTTTTAATCTCTTTCTGAGAGGGCTCTCAAGGATGGACCTCAGCAGAAGATCTCAAAGTTTGGGTGGGTGTATATGGAAAGCAATGTTCCTTCAGATATCCAGGGCCTAAACTGTTTAGGGCTTTATATGTCAAAATTAACACCTTCAATTGGACCTGGACTTTCTTCTCTTTATCTTCTTGAAGATCAATATTTATTTATTTTATTTATTTAAAACATTTCTATGCCGCCCCATCCCAACAAAGCCTTGGGGCGGCTCACAGCATAATTAAAACATATAAATAACAATTGCTACAATTAAAGATTAAAAAGCCCGGTAACATCTCGGCTTAAAAATTTAAAATCCTATAAATACATAATAAGTTAACAATTAAAATAAGTTTTAAATAAAAAGGTCTTCGCCTGGCGCCGAAAAACAAATAATGACGGCGCCAGGTGGACCTTATGTCCAGATTCAACGGTATGACCCAGATCAACTAAGACAAAGCAAGCTGTTTGACGGGCAAGCTGAGCCAAGCTTGTGCCTGACTTGTAATGCTAAAGACCTTCTGTGGGACGCTGATGAATTTAACTTGGGAAGTTTTCAGATGATTGCATAGAAGGGTGCCCAGAACATGCTGACATGCTACGCTATTATCTTGTGTAACGCTATATTGGCAGTGCTTGATATCCATGGAGGAGAATCTGTGAAAAGTGTGTTGAGCTGTTATTTCTGAAAGCTGCTTAACCAGTGTCCCAGTTTGGAAATTCTGTTCCTTCGAAGCATAAGTAGCTCAACTGTTGCAGTCGAAAAACAAAATGCTTGTATGCATGTAACTAAAGAGCAAAAAGTATTAACCCTGTTTTCTTACAAACTTTTAAAATAGTTCACAACAGTGCATAAGCAAAGAGAATTACCCAGATATCCAGGAGAAGCCATTTCTAAGTTCCAGTGCACCATCGGTTACTAGCCTTAGCCTTCTTGGAAACTTTGAGGTAATGTACACACACATATATAAATATTACCTAAATCCTCTAATATTGGTTACAGATATGTTGATATCCTGCTGTGGCATATGCCACATGGTTCTAAACATGTTTTTATCAGGGCAGTCAGTGTACATGATGCTTGATTTACCAGCTTCCAGTACTAGATGAAAATGTTTTTATTTTATCAGTCTTTTTAATTCAATATACATTGATTGGTATGTGTTTTTTAAACTGCTTATTGTCTGTCTGTTGCTTTTTGTTTTTAAATGCGCTTATCCGTAAATAGTAGCCACCTTGAAACTGTGTGTATAAATAAAATAATGTGGAGCAATGATTTTATTTGCTTTCCCTATTTTAATATTTTTACGTGCTACTGCTGATATTTTTATCTGATAGTTTTATCTGATATATTTGATGTAATGTATTGCATTACTGGGCTGCAGGTGGCGCAGTGGTTTAAACCGCTGTGCTGCTGGGCTGGTTGATCGAAAGGTCACCGGTTCGAATGTGCACAACGGGGTGAGTTCCCGTTGCTCCGTCCCAGCTCCTGCCAACCTTGCAGCTCGAAAGCATGCAAATGCAAGTAGATGAAAAGGCACCACTTTGGTGGGCAGGTAACAGCATTCCGTGCACCTCGGTGTTTAGTCATGCCGGCCACATGACCACGGAGACTGTCTGCGGACAAACGCTGGCTCCCTCGGCTAGAAAACGGAGATGAGCACCACCCCCTAGAGTCAGGCATGACGGGACTTAATGTCAAGGGGAAACCTTTACCTTTACGTTATTGCATTACTGACCATCATATTTAAATGAATAATGTGCTGATTTGAATTTATTTTGAATTATTTGTCTGTGACTCTGTAATAAACTTTAGTAAATCCTCTGCCTGAGAGGCACTGTCTAGATCGCCATAGGAAAGGCCAGTGTGTCAGCAATGAGTGCAGTGCCTTCTGACCTTGGGGTGCCCTTCCTTTGTCCCCATAGCCTGGGGTTCTTTCCATGCTGGCTGCTGCAACTTTGGATGGGGCCACTCCAAGAGGCTAGGAGGGGAGGAGTGAAACTCTGCCAAGATATGAGGAATCCTGGCGATGCCTCATTCCCTTCCCCTTGTGAGCAGACGCAAAAGACAGATGGCCAGGAGAGGTGCAGAGGCAATCCTGGTCTCTGTGTTCTTCCCACACTTAATTGGATGCGCATAATCCTCTAAGTTGAAGGGCTACAGGCAGCGTCATTGGATGACTGCTTTCATTGTCCAAACTAGTACTATATTGCGGAAGCACTTGCTTTGCATGGAGAAAGTTTGGGGTTCAGATTATTGCATTTGTAGTTAAAAAGGCAGTGTGTGGTGAGAGAGACCTCTCTGTGAGAAGTTAGAGAATCGCTGTCACTTAGACTAGACACTGCTGGGTTAAATGGGCGAAGAACTTGACCTGGTACTGGGCAGATTTTGGGGACCCATTCCTGCAGACCTCATTTCAAAGCTGGCTTTTTCAAGAGAGAATCATTTCATGTTTTTCAGGAATCTGTACTGAACTATCGTTTGGAACCCCTGGGCATTGTGGACGGCTTCATGGCTGAAGTGGGTGCGAGTGGAATGTTCTGTCCAACACACATGACTCTTCCAGTTGAAGTTTCGTTCTATAGTGTTTCTGATGACAATGCACCCTCTCCCTATATGGTAAATATTTGAACTCCGTACTTGTATTTAGTCATTAAAATATTTCTGTGTATCTATACTAAATCCTGGTGTAGATATTTGAGTTAATTCATAGTATGCCACTGCACAGACAAATCACAGTTTTTATTAGTGGTCCTTGTAGAAATCTTATACGGTTGGCTCAGAAAGCCCATGCTGTCCCTTTTCTTGTATCTTGTTTAGCTTGTGAACTTGTTTACAGAAAACAGCCTGAGTTCGATGTGCGAAATGCTTGTGCAGTGCAATTCATTTGAAATCGTGCACATGCATTTAACTCTGGATTTTCACTGCGATACATATGGATGTGCAAATTCCTTCCTTTCCCATGTATCATGCCCACATTCATTATGTGGAACATCAGGCACTTAAATAAGTATGTATGTTGACGATTGTCAGTGGGTTCCCAGTGCATCTAAAATTTTGAACTTCCTGGTACTGCGTCCAGGGTCCACAAAAGAAAACATCAGTCTGCTGTAGCTTCTCTTCGACTTATAAAAATGATTATAGTTTCTTAAGGAGTGCTTCATACACTGTACTTCTGATTTTAGTGGGGAACACATCATGCCCTTGTTTAAACAGTTAGTAGGAACATCTAACAATCCAACTGATGGATTTGACAAAGTGTATTTACTTGTCTTCTAATGTAGAAGTAAAGGCTGCTTTGTAGTCCAGGACAGATGATCTGTAAAGTTTTCAGCCTGTTGTTAGCCAGTTAACCGAGCTGATTTGAGGAAATCATGCGTATGGACCTGTCATCCTTAGGAGTGGAAGCCATTGCATGCGGCTGAGCTATCTTCTGTCTTGTAAACAAAAGCATTTATCTGTAATTATTTTCAGTGGATTGAACACTACCACATACTGTTGTAGCTGCAAATATTTAAAAACTGTCAGCCCTTGATGCAAATGCAGACTTTGAAATAAAATGTCTGTCTTGAAAGAATGCATGGAAGAGACACTGTAAGAATGGATGGGACTAAAACAGCCTCTTCTAGTTGCATTTTTGTGTTCTCAGTAGTATGTTTCTTGTCTGTGAACCTCTGCAAAAATAATTCTTTGATTTAGGGCTTCTGCTCCATATACTTTTATGACCAAAATTTCTCGACTATCAGTATGCTTACTTTTTGATGTTTTTGTAATTGTCTGTTTCTTTGTTTCTCCACTACCCAGGGTGTAATTGCTTTAGAGTCTCTTGGTAAAAGGGGTTATCGGGTACCTCCTTCAGGAACAATACAAGTGGTATGTACAGTTACATTAACAATCATCTTTCCAACATACTGCTAAGCATTTGCCTTGGAAGAAAACTATGAAAATCTACCAAGAAATATCTTAATTTCCCATTTGAAACTTGACAGGAAGAAGGGGAGAACACAAACCAGATGACCTGGTACTTTGCTTTGTGTGGGAGTTGATGTGCCCTTTTTCTACAGCTTTTGCTATTTTGAATTCTACTCTGAATTTTCCCAAGGATATTAATGAGTGGAGAGGCTCCCTCCCTGGCCAAATTTTTGCCAGTTGTACTAAAGGCACCAGGTTGGAAAAGCAGGAACCAGACAGCCGAGAGAACATTTTAAAAAATACTAGGGGAGTTTCCTAGATCTGCAGTGGTGTTCTCCATCACTTCCTACTGACTGGAGAGGTGATGGGGAAAGAAACTTGTTCTCCCCATCTACTTCCCTGCTTTTCTTAAGTGTCAGTTGTATCAGGGTCTTCAGTCCCTTGCAGCATTTATTCTGAACTTTATATGACCTCCATCCACATTGGTTCACCTGTTTTGTGGCTGGAGTACAGTCCCACAGGCAGCCAAAGAATCAAAGAACATTGCATTAGTAAAAAGACACACCTGGATACAACATACTGCACACCGTTGTCCCGTGGAATAGTGTAATTCTGAACCATTTGTTTCTTATTTTTCAGACCTTATTCAATCCTAACAAGACTGTGGTGAAGATGTTTGTGGTAATGTATGACTTAAGAGAGATGCCAGCCAATCATCAAACATTCCTACGGCAAAGAACCTTTTCTGTCCCTGTGAGGCGAGAGACAAAGAGAAGTATCAATAAAGAAAATATTCGACATACTGAAGAAAGACTACTACGCTACCTCATTCATCTGAGGTGAGGCTGCTGAGCAGGGCAAAGTTCTTAGTTGCTACTTGGTGCAGCCAATACCTGTTTTTTTAAAAATAAAATTACAATGCAACCAGTAGCTTGCTTTCTAATTAGCACTGATTGGTCTTTTGCTAAAGGGCAATGGATAGAAATATCAGTACTTGTGTGTACAGATAAAAAGTCAAATGGAACATAATTGGCTTTTCATTTTTTTGCTCTAACAATAAGAATTGAAACAAGCAACTCAAGTTTAGTTGCTGAAACCATACAAGTTTCCAAAACAAATGAAGTCATACAATTGTAAACTGCTTTGTGGAAGCATCTGTTTAGGAGGCCGTAATTAGGGTTATGTCAGCGCTTCCATTGTGAAATGCCCTTAGCAAGAGATTGTCAGCAAAAACATTTACCAAGGGCTGAAACTTGACAAACTTTTTACAAAAACAGCTTTCAAAACCCAAGGCTCAGTTTGCATGCACAATCGTTCGTGCTTATGTGTGCCTGTTCAACAAAATATTTAGACCATTTGCAATATTTGGCATATTGCTTCTGTACCTGACGGTATGATTGAAATAACATGTAATTTGCTGATGCAACAGAGTGAATATTATCTTGATTTGCAAAACCACAACTGTCTGCCTAGAGACTAAGCAGGTTCTATATATTTTTTTCAAGTTAACTGCTAGCTAGACTTGATTGAGGCCCTTTCAAACGTTTTTGGCAAGTCTAAAGAGAAGTCATCTAGGAATTCCCTCAGTTCTGCACTAGAGGTCCATCGTATTTTTAGTGAATTCAGAAGACTGATTAAGGGGAGTGAGGGGATGGCAAGGAGTTGCAAAAATAAGCTGCTAGGCTTACCATTAGCTGTTGTATTTCAATAATTTCCCTGAGTGAGAAAAAATAATTAAAAGTGAAGTCACTGTTATCTGTTCTTTGATCTTCAAATAAGTTTGAGTCTGATCTTCAAAGTGCAACCTCAAGCAGTACATACATATTAAAAAATGGCTACTTCCCTTTGAATGAGTTCAAAATATAATTGTTTACATTGTGAAGAAATTTCTTCTCCAGGCCTCAGTCTCCTCATTGAGATATTTTTTGTGTGGTAGTTCATGCACCAGTAACCAATGTTGATGTTCTTCCCTTAGGTTCCAGAGTTCCAAATCTGGAAAGATCTACCTCTACAGAGATGTTAGACTCCTGTTTTCCCGAAAATCCATGGAAGTTGACAGTGGCGCTGCATATGAACTCAAATCTTACACTGAATCTCCAACAAACCCTCAGTTTTCACCTCGATGTTAGCACGACACAACAATGAAAAGTATTTGCTCAATTACCAGATTACTATTTAAGAAGAACAATTGGCATAAACCATTTGGTGTAAAAGTGAAATGGCAAAGGAAGTGAGATATTGGTCAAATGGGAGTCAAGGCTTTTCTAGGGTCTTGGACCAGTTCTTAAAAGGCTTCTGGAATGAGCTTTGTGTATTCCAAGTAGACTGGAACATACTTAGTCCTAATCTTTTTATACTGGTTTTAAACCACTTCATTGGATGTGTTGCAATAGCAGATTCCAAATTAGTTTAGTGTTTACACCTTATTTTATTTTATTTTTTTGGTTATTTAATATTTAATGTTTCTTCTACTTAAGTGATGTTCAACTTTACTGTTCTAATGTAGCACAAAACCTCTGTAAAATCATACTGCGTATTTTTGACATTAATATTGAAATCTGAAATATATACAGAAGTCTTTACTTTGCTGTGTGATGTGTTTTTAAGTGATACTTAAGCTGCTTAAAATAAGGATGGGATTTTGAACTTCCATTGCATTATCATACTATGCAAGCATGTCCAGGCAAGATGGGTTGTGCATTTTTTCATATTGTTCATTTCCCCCTCTTCCCACATAAGTTCCATAACAACACACAAACCACATTGCAAAATGATTTGACTGCTCATTCAGATCATTGGCCCAACTCGTAATTAGAACTGCTTTTCCGCTTAAAGGACCTCTCCTCAGAGCATTTCACATTGTCCTAATCGGTATCAAAATTTTACATAACACTACTGTCCCATACCTAATTTTCTCAGACTGTGTTTTTTTTAAAGATGTACTGTGAAAACAAAGTAGTATTTATATCTTAAATATATGTGAAAACAGCAACGCTGGAATTCTGGTTTTATTTTGATATGGTCTTTGTTGTTCTTTTTAGATTTTGTCCAAATTAGGCCACTAGATGGCTCTTGTATCACTCCTTGGAATAACTGCAGGAAATCAACCCTGAGCATATCAATAGGGTCCCTCTAATTGAAGAATGCTATCATTTTGAAATTACAGCTCTCTCTTAAAGTGGACTGGGGCTAATAAGCGCATTCCATTCAATCTATGGAATGCGCTCCCCAGAGAGGTCCGCCTGGCGGCGTCGTTATTTGTTTTTTGGCGCCAGGCGAAGACCTTTTTATTTAAACGCCATTTTAATTGTTAATATTATTTATTTATTTTATTTTTCTGGCTAGGACGTCTCCAATTATATTGTTTTTATATTATTATTTATTTATTTTTGTGAGCTGCCCCGAGGCTTCGGCGAATGGGGCGGCATAGAAGCTTTCTAAACAAATAAACAGTGTTTGGAAGAATTAGAAAACATGACAGACACCAGCTGAAACCTGAGACTATATCTTATTATAATAGTTTTGATAGTGCCCAATAGAAACTTTCCTATTCTATCAATCTGTTTACTATCATATAGTGAAGTATTGTGCAAGGAATGATCTTAAAGTTAAAAAAGTTAATCCACTGAAAAGAAGGGTGTCTGGTCTTGGAGTACCAAGAGAAATGAATATATAACCCTGTTTGCACTCTGAAGGAAGGCTGGGATATACATGTAATAATGTTATAACATAAAAATGGATAATGCTTGCACGAAAAACAAGCTTTCACACAGAAAACTGTCTTAGACTGTTAGACCATTGGATCATCTAGCTCAGCGTTGTGTAGAGTGACTGGCAGTGGCCCTTTGGGTTTCAGGTACCTGGAGATAGAAGTGATGCAGTCCAAGAGCTTTTGCATGCAAACCATTGCAATACCACAGCCTGGCAAGGCTTTTCCCCAAAGAGAATAGCTCTCATCCTACATTGCAATCGGTTTTCTGAACTTGGCATTTAAAAAAAGTGGGTGACAGCTTTTCAGAACTGAATAAATGCTCCTTAGGTTTTAGATAGGTTCTGTGAATTCCTAGTTAGAGAAGGAAGACTTCGTCAAGTATTAGTGTGGGTTTTTTAAACTGGGGATTTTTGGATACTGGCAGTTTTGTATATTTCAGGGCACACACGATTCACACATGTGGTTCCCATGCCTTGTGTTTATTCTTGAAGAAATCCTAGTTTTCTTTTGCAGAAAACCAACCATCATTTCACCTTTTCTAGAATGGTTATAATACTTGTTGCATCTCTCGTACTTAATGGTGATTTTTTTCATTATCACTTGTACACGTAATTCTATTTTCTGTGAAGTCCCAAAGTGCATTTGTACAGGAGTAAACTCGCCACCAAGTTTAATTTGGTGACAGTGTGAAGAATAAGAACAAATAGTGTGGGAGAATTCCTTTGGGACTGGAGACACCAGTTAGCATCCCAGCCAAATTCTGGGGTTTTCTTGCTTAGACCTTCCCCAGAAATCACGTAGAAAAACAAGCAAGGCAATGTCACCCAGACCTGGACAACACACCCACTGTAGTAGAAGGCCCAGGACAAGAGAGCTGCTTGGCAAGAGTGGCCATTGACCCTCTTGCCAAGCGGCTAGCCAGAGAAAGCTGCTGACAGCAGTTTGGCACGGCTGTCACAGAGGCATTCTGCTCAAGAAATCTTTGGGACAGGAACTGGGCAATCAGCTAGGTGGCACTGCCCAAATGGGACAGTGGCTGCATCTGAGAGAAAACCTCTTACAGGTAGGGGTGTGTGTGGGGAACTGATTCTTGTCCCTGCCTGAGAAGTGCTCTCCTCAGCAGGAGCCGGGCTAGATGAAGAGGCATAGTAGGCCCTATGTAGCCCACTCCCCCCACCTTCCCCCCTTCTGCTGAAAAGAAAGTCACTCAAACAGAAGCAGGTAAGGGGAAGCCTGAGCTGGGCCAGACCTGCTGAGTATCCCTGGCCAGCCCAGTTTCTCCCTACTTTGTGCTTGGCTGAGTACCTTTCTCCCAAACAGGAGTGAGAAAGGCGGGCAAGCAGATCAGTAGAGGGGCATTGGGCTTGTTGGACCTTTCTCATAGCCTGAAGTGCCTGATCCTGCCTAATCTTGGAAGCTAAGCAGGATCAGGCCTGGGCAGAAATGGGATGGGTGACTTGAGTGTATGATTCTATGATTATTGCTGTCAACTGCCTAGAGAGCTTTGGCTATAGGCAGTATAAAAATGTAATAATAATAACTTGCAAAAAAGTGTCGATATGATTCAGCAGAGCGGCCTGCATTTCTGGACTGTCAGGGCAAGGCTTTAGAGACGACCTAGCAGCAGCTGCATCTCCACATGTACACCACTGCTGGGGCCCCTCAGTGCAATCCCATACCTGCCTACAATATGCATAATGGAGTGCTGAGCGTACAAAAATGTAATTGGAGAACGAGTGTGGTTAGTTTTGGACTGGAACTCGGGAAACCCAGGTTGTATTCCTCATGCTCAGCCAGGAAGCCCCTGGGTGATTTAGGCCAGTTACCGACAAAATGGAGAGAGGGAAGAGGTTTATAGGGGTTCCTTGGAAGAGGGGAAAAAAGGGAGAGAGAAAAATAAATGTTTTGTCTTTAATTTTCTTCTTAAAAGGCCTGCAACCCGGCCTCCGAACCATCTGGCTGACTGCGGGTCTCTTGAATCGGATGAGACTCCAGCTACCACCTTAGCAAACAGGTCGTACGTTGAGTAAAACAAAAAACTACAAGTCCCAGAATGCCGCAGTACACGCCCGAGACCCCGCGGGAGACTAAGCACATGATGTACGTCAGAGGACAGCCGAAATCTCGCGCAGGCGCACAGCCCTATCGCGTCAATCCTGGCGTGGCTCATTCATTTGCTCGTTGGTGGGGGTAGAGTAAGACGGGCTCGCGGACGGAAAGAGGAAATTTGAGCCTGCCGGCTCGCCGTTGTAAACTCGGCGGCCATCTTGTATGCGGTTGTGGTGGTAGCGGCGGCGGCTCCTTTTCGCCGGCTTCAGGCCTTTCTTGTTCGGGGGTGCTGCTGCGGTTGCGTGAAAGCCATGTCTGCGGAGAGCCCGGAACCCGCTTCGGCGGAGGAGCAGAAGGTGAGGCGTTGCTGGACGTGGGTGGAGGGGCTGGCGTCGCGGGTGGAAGAGGAGAGCTGTTGAGGCGGGAGAGGGGGACTAGGCCGTAGCTTAACTGAGGAAACTTTAATCCAGGAGACGAACGAGGGAAGAAATGGGGCAGCCTCTCCTTCCGCCGACCCAACGCATTTTGTAGGCGGGCAGGGAAGTCCATGTGAATTGGGCTTAATCTCTCTCCTTAGCTGAAGCATCGGAGAAGGCTCGTGGGGCGGGGTGGGGCGGGGCGCGCTAGATCCTGTTCTTTCCCATTGGTAGCTATTCGGTTTTAACCGTAGCCATTCTTTTTATTTTTTTGTCCTTCTTGGCAAGTTTTCCTCCTATTGCTCTCGATGGAGAAGCTGAGAAAATATATACTGGACGCTACACGTGAGGGCAGGAGTGGGGTGGGACACACCAGGCCGCCTCCGTTTTCTTCTGTAGTTCCTGTGTCTTAAGTATTGAGGTGCTGCAGCTTTCATCGCACCGGTTCGTTTAGTCTTCGGCATCGCAGGAGAATATCCATTAGTTCAGTTCACTGATACAGCGTCCAGCAACCAAAGATTTCCGGGCAGATCATAATAAATGAATAAAAATAAGAAAACCTTCCGCAGTATTGCATTAAGCGAAACTGCCTCGTGTTCGGCTCGCTCAGTGCTGTGCCAAGTTATAGGAGTCCTTGGTGGGCGTGCCCATTGCCGTGGGCGTACGTGCCTCCTAGAGTCGTATTGTCTGATTACAGCAAGCCAGGGGGCGCGGTGTAATGTGACATCATCAATCCTTAACGTATGCCCCCCCCCGGTCCCCGCTCCCCCCCGCTCACGAGCAAAATATTTTGTGAAAGTGTGTTGAGGTGTCTTGCAGTCTCTCATGATTCAAGGTATCCTTTGTTAAACAAGGAAATCATAACTGGCATTTATACCTTCGCTTTAGCGAACTCCTAGCCTTTCGAAGCTTTCTCTCTATGCCAGGAAGGGTGTGCCCTAAAACAGGCCAGGTTTTTCATAATTACTTGAGTGTGAGGAAAATTAGCTACATGATCACTTGCAAGCTTCATTCTTGTATCCATAAAGAACAAAGTGAGTAAACATGGCTATAATATTTTTAAACTACATTGAATCTTCTGTGCAAGGATCGGGCTGAAACAGGAACATGAGAGCCATGCTGGATCAGACCAAAGGCCTGTCTAGTTTGGCATTCTTTTTTATTTATTTATTTTACTTATTAAAACATTTTTATGCCGCCCCATTCGCCGAAGCCTCTGGGCGGCTTACAAGCAAGCCGCTTACATGCAATTCTGTTTGCAGCACCCACCTTACTGCCCACAAGCATGACATGAAAGCAGTTCCACTTATGCTGCTCAGCAGCATGTCTTGCTAAGAGTATTGCCTCCATACCGGAGGTGACATAATAGCTATCATGAATGGTACCTACCAACAGTGTTATCTTTCCTGTATTAGTCTAACCACTTTTTAAAACCATTCATGAAGGTGGCCTTAAAGACATCTTGGTGCATGCAACCCTATGACTTGACTTCTCATTGTTATTTCATTTTTGTTATGGATTGGCTTGTAGTACTGAATATAATTCAATATTATATTCTGCTTGCAGTGCAGAATGTAATATTGCAGTACTTGCTATATGGGTGAAGTATGTTTTGTAGTTAATTTGCTATGAGCCTTAGGACTGCTGATCTAGACTTTTTTTAGATGTGTTAAACATTTCAAGATGAGTATCTCTCTGTCCTGTGTTTTTAATATTGGACTTTTGATCACAACCCTTTTTGCACAAGCAGCTTAAAGGGGCTTAAGGGTAGATTTAATTACTGTATCTTAAAAAAGTGCATGCTTTACAGGCCAAGGCATTTTGTACACTCTTAGATTACATAATTTCTGAACAATATTGTAGCCTGCTAGATTGATGTATACTATCAGTTTTGGACTGTGTTCTTAATGTTGCATACTTGATGATGGTGTAATATTTCTGTTAGGCCGCCTCAGAACTAAAGTTGAAATACCTGTGTACAAATAAAAACACTTGCATACTAGTATTACTGTGTAAGCTGAAAGAGTAGTACCTGCATTTTCATTTTCTGTTTGTATTATGGCCAGCCTTGGCAGTCCTTTTGTGCAGACCTAAGCAGACTGCAAGACCTGAAGGTTTACTAATTCCTGGCAAGCTCTAGGGTCATAAATTTGTCAGTGAAAGGGCTGTTTCTGTACTATGTGCATGTAATAGCCCAAAACTTGCTAAGGCATTTTCGGTAGCCTTTTTGATTATTTAACTGCTGATTCTGCTCTGAGTGAACATGAGGACTGAACCTGAGTTAAATTACAGTTAACAAATACTACTTGTAGGTTAATTAAGCCACAATGTGCATGATTGTGAAGGGAAAATAAGCTACTCTGGCTTATTTTCTCCTTCTTGTGCATGCCAGTTACAGGCTGCCTAATTAGGATAATTACTTTCTCTAGGCATGAGTTGTGGCTGGTTAAGGGGGTTTGCAAACCAGCCTGTAATCCTAGAAGCAGCCTTGGGATTCAGGGTGGTTTGTGAATCTCTCCTGCCACCAGTCCTTGCTGTTTTTACACATCATGATTGCCTGTGCCCTTTGAAGGTACTAATGCTAATTAAGCAGCTCATGACAGATGCACATGAAGTGAGAAAGTAAGACACCAAAGGTTATTTTCCTATCTGATTATACAAACCAAGTCTAACCACAGTTCCTCTTTTCCCATTTAGAAGAAAAAAGTTAATGTATTGAATCAACTGTCATGTGAATGACAGAATAGTCTGCTTTACACATGATACTTTTGTTTTGAACTTACAAGCTGTTATGGGAGCCCATCTTATCTGTAGAGCAAATTATGACTTATAACAGATTTGTGGAAGGCTATATCCAGCCAGATAATTTGCGCGAAATGTGTCCTGATCTAGGTCCATTATACCGTTCTGTCTTAAAATGTAGCAATGTTAACATTATGAAAGCCTTTGTATCTTTCATTTATTGGAAATCGTTATTAAATATGGAATATGTTGGCTGTGAAGGCCTATAGGACTAATCACATCTTAATTGTTTTTAATGTTTAAAAAGTGTGCAAATACTAATTTCTTGTGTTTTCAGGAAATGGATGACAAGGTGATTAGTCCTGAGAAAGCTGAAGAAGCAAAGTTGAAAGCCAGATATCCTCATCTGGGACAAAAGCCTGGAGGCTCCGATTTCTTGAGGAAGCGGCTTCAGAAAGGAGTAAGCTTAAGCCATACTATGCAGTTAGTCTTTTTCATCAGGGTTAAACTTAAAGGCTGAAAAACTCTACCTGTTTAGACAGAAAGAAAAGCCTGTAACCTCCAGAAAGTCATAGCCAGTATGGCTGGCTGAGTCACTTGGGGAGTTGCAAGCCTGTTTTTCTGTATAAATATTTAAGGCACAGTTCTTTGCAAATGTTTGTTTGACTGTAAAGCTTGCTTTCATAACATTAACTCGATCCTAAAAATCTTTTCAGAGCAGAAAAGGCTACTGAGTTTCAGTTGAGTTTCAGTGAAAGGGTTCTTAGAATTAGAGGTTTAGAATAGTGTCTGGTGCATTCTTGAGGGAAACCATTCTGTGCGTGTTAAAGCCACCCATTCTCCACACTGCAATTATAAGAGCTGTTCAAACAACTTGCTACTTGCTGAACCTAATGTAACAGGTTAGCTTCAAAGAGTCATCAGGCCTAAAAAAATCTCAAGACTAAAATTGTCAATTTACGTTAACATTTCAAAAGCAGAAATAACAGCAACAATATAATTTAATATATCTTAAGGGGACAGTGAAGGCCTTAAATCCCTTTAAAATTAGAGGAATATAGAAGTTATTTGTAAAGGTTAACAAAATATTTGTGTTCCATTTGTAAGAATTTTATTTCATAGTCTAGTAACTCAAAATTAAGATGTATTTAAGTGTACAAAGTAATTTGCTATGAGGTAACCTATAAGTAAATGGGAGGGATATTGTTTATTATACATATGTAAAGTAGCTGGCAAGACTCTATATTGACTCCTGTTTCACTCATTATTTAAAGAAAGGAAACCTAATATTTCATGATACAGTTGTTCCCTGCTAAACAGGATAAAATGGTTAAGGAATATTTTAAAACCTCAGTTCAAATACTGATTCTGTCAAATAACCACATTCATCAGGCTAGTACAAATAGCTTCATTTGGTCATCACTGTAAACTCCTTACCATGGAAAAACCTCCTTGAATCATGATACCAGCTACAGTATCCAGAATGCTTTGAAACTTGTTTGTACCTTTGCTGTCCCAGTGCTGCAAGCTAGTGTTGTTTGGAGCCTTTTCTAATACTAACAAATGTGAATTCATGGGTGGTATTCCTCCTTGTTATATTAAAAATAAGCATTAGAAAGTCATGTATGTATGTGCATTGTACATTTTAGTACTTTTACATTCCACTGTTCTTTGAAGGAGCTCACGTGTGTGCACGGTTCTGACCATGTCCCACACAGGAATGTTGTAAGGATATTAGTGTGAGAGGTAGTGAAACCCCCAAAGTGATCCAGAGGCTAACCAGGAACTTGAACCATGGTTTCCCTAGCCCAAGTGCTCAGGAAATATTCTGGCTCTCTGAAACAGAAACAAATGAAATAGAAGAGGATAGGTGTGTTTGTTCTAAACAATATAATTTGTTTTCAAGTGTGCAAAGGATGGTAATAAAACCCAGTTTTGTAATACCTTGCACCCATTTCCATTTGCTGATGTATTCTCACAGTCAAGTTGCTAACATTCAACACCTTAATCCATAACTTTTCAGTGTTACTTATGGTTTTGTAGGACTGAAATAGTTCTGTTTGTACTCTATTCTTTCATATTTTATAATCCGGCACTGGGTTGCAATGTTAAAAATGCAGTTCATTCATTAAGTTGGACAACATGCTGTGTGAAATGTTGGCTGTCAGGTGATAGCAAGGTACATTTGCTAGGCTCATTTAACTGTTCAGCTTAGGTTATCTACTACTGTAAATAAACTTAGATTTGAATACAGTTGGCTAATTCTTGAGGAAGATAGTCTTTCTAATGTGTCTGATTATTTCATTGAATGTTTTTGCCTTGCAGCAAAAGTACTTTGATTCTGGGGATTACAATATGGCTAAAGCAAAGATGAAGAACAAACAACTCCCTACTGCAGCTCCTGATAAGACCGAAGTTACAGGTGACCACATTCCCACTCCACAGGACCTTCCACAGCGGAAACCATCTCTTGTTGCTAGCAAGCTGGCTGGCTGACTAGACTGGCAGAACTGCATGAATCTTCTCATTCCCTTAATCTTTCCTTAATAGTTACTTCTCACATTTTTGTTTCCACTAAGTCATTGACTGACCGCTTTGCAGGTAGTGGTAGCGTGTGCTGCTATTGTAAGAGAGTCCTGTTAAGAATTAAGTTGTGTAGTCCTTGGATGAGTTGAGAACAATGCACTGATTTAAAAAGGACACATTTTGTTAGAGCAATGTAAAGTAAATCTACTTGAAAACTGTACATATTACCTATTTGCTAGTGTAGGGCTGGTTCCAGCAAGTGATATAGCAATTTTTAATGTTTCTGCTTTCCTTAGTTCACTTTAATTACAATGTAGTATGTTTGTATTGAATACAACCTCTTGTTGTGTTTCTTCTTGTGTTCTGGTTTGTAAACTAGAGGTTTTAGACTGCAAGTTGCTAGAAGGTAAAGCATGTATTAAAAAAAGATGGGGCTCTGACTTAATTTGTGTATTTGCTCTTGAACTTGAATGGCCTTAAACCTATTTCAGCTTTAACAATAGATTTTTTTACTTGGGCAATATTTGCTCATTTTGGTGTAATTCTTGTAAACCTTGTGCTTATTGACAACTGCCTGTTGAAGCTGGTATTTCTTTTGGTCCTGTAGTGTAGAACACATTTTTAAGTGAATGAAGTGTGCATGTGCATAGACTGAATTCACTTTTGTGCCATTCTGTAAATAAGATAGATTTGCACAATTTTTGCAAATACCTGTTAACTTTACATTTTAAAAAATGTGCCAACTAGAAGCACAAATTATTCTGTACCTTTGCAAGTCAACATTAGAGTCAAAATTACCATACTAAACATAACAGACTTGTATGTTTAAGGTCTGGAAAGCACCTGAAGTACTATGCTAGATGAACTTTGCTAGTACCTCCCTTCTGTGTGTGTCAACAATGGCCTACAGTGTTCAGTCTGAATAGATACTATAGATACAAAACACTTTCTAGTATTTCTGAGGCAAGTAGTTCTATTTCAAGGGGAATAAACTAGTTTAAAAGCAGGTATCTCACATTAAGCAACTTGTAGATCACACTATGTAGGGTTTTCCAGTGCTATTATACGGTCTTTTAGCTTATTATAAAATCTATAACTTTTAATAACTTGTATGAACCACAGGAGGTTTGGAATGTGAAAATATGGGTAAACTGCTGCTATTGAAAGTCTCTGACACATAAAGGACCTCTATTTTAGAAGTAGTTGGTTTTTAAAAAACCCAACCCTGTTTTTTCAGATTGGGAAGTAGAATGGATTGATTTTTTGTATATATGGTACCATTCATGATAAATATGCTAATTCTTTGATGCAGTAAAAAGTGCTTTGTCAGTGTATATTATAAATACTCTGCAAGGGCCTGTCTTAAACTTTTGGGTATAAATAGAACTCTAGTAAGTGTATAAAATCTAGCTGACATCAAGGATAGCATTTTTATCTGTCTTAAAGAATTTCAGTCTACTGTCTGGCATTTTCACTCTTAGTGAAATCAGAGAATCAGATGCTTAGTTCCCTTGAATTTAAAGAGAGTGAGACATGAGAGCAACTTTCCCTTTGTTGCAATTGGGCAGCTATTGTCTTGGGACTCTTTCAAAGCATAGTGATAAAGGCCCTCTAACAAGCACATTTAAGACAAATAGTAAATCATGTTAGCCACCTCTGACCTTCTTAGATGAGAAGGCCTGGTTTTCAAAGGTAATGCAACCACTATCCCTCAGATTTTGCACCCTCTCAACTTTTAAAAAATCTAACCCTGATGCTGTATGGAAGTTGATATAATAGATGGGTGCCAGGTTTAGGTATTCTGGAAATTAAGGTTATTTGTGCAGTTATTTTCATAGCATATCAGTTTTTGTCTATGAATAGTTAGCAAGGCCTATTCTCATTATAGCCAGCTTTGATTTGATCTCTCTGTGGCATCTCAACTGGAGTATATTCATGGAAAGAGACTTAACAGTGAAGTTGATACTTTTAGCTGTTACCTTGGAGAGTAGAAAACCCCATAACTGTTCCATGCAAAGAAGAACAAGCTTTTATGGAGGATTGTCCAAAAATAACATTCAATTTATTTTTGTATAAATAGAAGTAAACATTAGGCATTATGAGAATTAACTGTGGCCTAAAACTAGTAGTTCCTAACAGAAAATGACTTGGTGTATTTTCTAGTTGCTACTGCTCCACTAGATAGTAAGATGAACTGGTATGCCATGGAGGAAGTATATTTAAAGCCATGTAAATCTAAACATTCCATTCCCCCAGCCTTAGACTTCTAATTTGTATTATTGATATGACTGTGCAAATTGTGATGTCTACCAATCATTGATCCATGAGAATATATACAACAGTATGAACCAGTTCAGTCTGTTCTGATGGTGATCCTGTGTCTCTGGACAAACAACAACAGAAGATAGTTTGGTCATCTACATTGTTAGGGATACAAGAAGCTAGATCAACAATCATTTTAGAAGATCAAATAGATGGTTAACTTGCAACTTTCAGCTAACTCCAACAAGATAAAGCTGTAAAGCTTGTGTATATACTGTATAATATGAATTTTACCCTTTGATAATGACCTTTTTCAGAGATCTATCTGCACTATAGTTTAGCAATCTATTTGCTTTATGCAGTGATTAGTAGTGCTTAAGTATGTCTGTAATGAAGACAGGATGTAGTAGCCCCAAACTGTTTCCAGTAGATACTAGTGATCCAAAAGTGTTCTCCCTCTCACTCCCATCCCACCCATTCATCATTCATCATCACAAAAGAGTATGAATGCAGAGGCCACAAAAAGACTGTTTGGTTTGATGTGTTCCTTAATGCATTTCTGATGCTCCAGCGTTAAATTTCAGTTGCTCGGCACCAACATCACCCTGTATAGTACACATAATAAATTCAACTAATTAGTTTTCATTGCTCTGTAGACGTTTGTCTGGTCTTTTACTGTGTTTCCCCCATAACTGTATTGAATCTTCTTTCTGGCTAAAGAACAAGTCTACATAAGACTTGCTTTGCACTTCTAAGAAACGAGTATGTTGGCCTCTTTTCTAGTGTGTGCTCAGCTATGAAATGATAAAATACTGTAACTGTCTTTATATATACATCACTACTTATTTTTCTAATAGCATTAAAGCTTATTGTTTGACTTTAATTCCATAATAGGTTTGTTTCTATGCTTATGAGCTAAAAGTGTCCTTTGTGAGAATTTATCCTGAAATAACTAGCAGATTGGATTCTGAAGCAAGTCTGAAGCAAGAACTGACATGGTCTTCAAGTGTTTTAGGTCACTTCTAATATGCACCTAGATTCTACCCAGGATTTGATTGTAGGGTCCATTTTTGTAAATGACCATGAATAGCTTCCAGAGTTTATTCATTTATTAGATTTATATTCTGCCTTTTTTCTTATAAGGTTAAAATGGTTTACATCGTTATTTACCTTCCGTCAATCTTATCCCCACAACTACCCTATGAGGTAGGTTGAACTGCAAGTCTTCGACTGGCCCAAAGTCACCCAGTTGGTTCCATTGGCTGAGTGAGGACTAGATCCCAGAGCGCCTGGGTTCCAATCTTGCACTCTTAACCACTGCACCACACTGGCTCCAACCTAATGTAAGTTGACTGGAAGAAGCAGGATTGTGTGCTTCTGAATGAAGTGAAAACTATGTGGAGCATATGAGAAAAGTTTGATCACTGGAACTGTAATTGAATATGCATTATTTGCAAGCTTCCAATCAAAATGGATATAGTCACCTGGTAGAAGGCAGCTTTTGGTCCATTTAGCCCATGTCTTCTCCTTTATCTGCTATCTCATCCTTTTAACTAGAGTGATGGGAATAAAATCTGCAACATCCTACATAGAAACCATGGGCACTGCTGAGCTAAGCTGATGGAATGCATCCCAAGACCTATGAATTGTGGCATGTTGGGTACCTAACAATGCAACTTTGTAAAATAGTTCAAATACCAAGTGGGCTAGCCCTACCTCCCCCTCTACACATCAGTTATTCCTGTTGGCAGCTATCTAGATCCTAATAGTCATGTTTTTTATATTACATAAAATGTAGAGAAACATGGCAGGCATGACTTGTGGATATCCAGATAGCAATCAGCTGTTGTAGAGGCTTGCAAATTTTTAAGGAATGCTTTAAGGGATGCTTGTGCAATTCAGGTGACTCTCTGAGTAATGCAGTTTATACAACTTTAACTGGATTTAACATTTAAGCACTGTTTTATGGAGGGGATAATGCCACATGATGGCTGCCTCCATTTTGCCAACGTCCAGAAGCCTGTGACTAGACCAGTTGTAAACTGAACCCTAAATTGGCTAGGTAAACCACTGGTCTGATCCTATAAACATTTTTTGTTGTTGCCTAAACAGCTTATAGACATTGCACTGGTGAGACATCATTAATGAAGTTGAGTTTAGCATATGCAGCATAGGATAGATGTACTGATAATTCTGAGCTTGTTGAATTCTGTAAATGGAGAGAGTCACATTGCATTTGTACTTAAACAGAGCTGCACAAACAAGTTTCTATATTGGGATGACTGAGCTGGTCACACCTGGAGGCTTTATTAATTTGCTAAAAGGCTTGAGGCACTTAAAATACAACAGAACACTTGCAAGATGTGTTACCTTACATTCTTGAGCACAACTGAGACTAGGTGTGGAGTTTTTTTGAGTACAGTGTAATTTTTAGTAGACTTTTTGTCAAAACTGGTCTGCAAAGGTTGATCTACAAATCTTCAGTAATTTGTATTTGAATCTTAAAGCATTCTTGTTTTCAAACTTTAATGTTTTATACAAACTAAGGTTCTGAATGCTAAAAAGGTAAAACTATTTAGATGTAAAACTGTTAATCAGCTGTTATATTGTATGCTGTAGACTAATAGTGATTTTTGAAATTGACCAAATCTTGCAAGTAATTTGGCTCCCTACGTTTGCTTGGGAAAGACTGGATTAAAAGGAGGCATTCCTTCCAAGCACAGAACTTGCATCTGCTTCCCTAAGCAAAGCCCACCTATATATAATTCATCCTATTCTATAAGGGAAGTACTTTTATTCAAAAAAGGTTTACCAGATGCCACTTGGATTTTATGTACAAAAGCTGGATATTATGGTCAAACATATCCTGATTGGAAGCCATTTAACTAAAAGGATGAGCAGTGAACCTAGTCCTCAAATGACTTTTTGGGCAGTTTCATTTATATTAATATGATATACCAGAAGAAAAAAGGCAGCTTTAGAGAAATCATATGCATACCCCTAACTTTTAATCCAGAAGCCTAATTTTTTAAAATGAAGAAATTGTTAGAATCCTGCTTCCCTAAATGGGTAAAAATACGCTGACAGTCACATTTGATTAAAATGACAGAACAGGCAACATGGCATGGGACCAGAACGACTAAAACCAACACTTTAAATTGAGCTCAAAATATATGGTAAATGAGGTAGAAACTGTAGGGTTGGATAGTAATTGGACCAGCATGTTTTGTATCTACTCAAGATTCTAAGCTCTTTAAAGGCAGCCACAGACAACATCCTAGTGATTCACCAGTGGGTAACTTGTGGTTTGTCAGGTACTGTGAAAGCTCTAGCCAGCATAGCCACTGTAAGACAAGATAGGAGGTGTTGTTCAATATCATTTGGCAGCCTAGAAATTGTCCATCCTTGCGATAATTAACCAGGAAATGGCTAGTGATGGATAATGGATGCCAGGTTTTCCTTTCAAAGAAGCACAGATGCTAAAAGGGCTTCCTCACTATTGTCAAATTAGTATCCAGTTGTCAAATTTTATTCCCAGAGTGTATCTTAGACTGTGTCTTATTCAGCAAAAACTACTTTTGTGTCTACTGGAAACTGCCCGTTTCCTGATTGATGAAGGAATGTTTAATTTCACTAATTGCTGGCAGTGCAATACAGCTAATATTTTTAAACATGTGTATTGGCAATGTCCAGTAGCTGTTTCTCTTTGCAAGGTATACAGAAACATTTTGTTCTGGAACGATCTTTAATATTCACTTATGAATATTTTTAAATTATTTACCTGTTTTATGGAAATTAAGTAATGTTAACATAAAACAGATCACCTGCACCTTTTTCCAGCTAAAAGACTGATATTGCAACATTATAATGCAATGCCTCCTATAATACAGTGGCTTGACTGCATTACAGTGCTTTCAATATTTGAATGGGTAGCATCTAGATGACACCTTCAAATAAATACCTATTGGGATATTTGGTTTCTTTGTGTGGAGCCAGAAAGTTTTGTGCATTCCACACTTATCCATGTACATAGATAAAAAAAAAAAACTGGTTTGGGTGCTCATGGACTCTGGAGGTGCCTGTAAATGCTGTGTTGGAGATCCCTGAGTGAAAAGATATTCATTGGACTCTGATCTCTGATTCTGCACCACAAGCAGAGCCCAAACTGGAACAAATTGAAGTTACGGTGTGTGCAAAATGCTTTACAGTATGGTTACATTGGCTGGCCACAGGTTCCAGCAACTCCCCTTCCTGGCCAGAATCCAATAAGCCTTTCACCAGTCAAACAAATCTACCAGCAGTAAGATTTCTTTGCTGCCACTACCATAGAGTATAAGTTTCTAGGCTGTGTTGTGGTTCACCTGTCACCCAAGCAGTGTCACTGACCCTAACTCCCCAGCAAATGAAGCAAAGCAAATACAGCTAAATAGGAGCCTTGTGTATCTTAAGGCTAAACACTTGTACACACATACTTTTACAGACTGGAGTCCACTTCTTCTGATGCCTGAAGAGCTAGTCTGCAGGTATAAGTAAGCAAGGATGTACAGAAAAAATATATAAACAGTGGGGTCAAATGGCAATGAAATGCAAACTGAGCCAGTCATGCCTTGATTGCACTTTTTTTGTTTCATTGCCAAAGCAAAAGAAAAGCCTTGCTGGATCAGACCAGGGTTTTACAGCACTCTGTTCCCACGGTTAGCTCACTAGGCCACCCAATGAGCAGAGCATGAACACAACAGCAACAAGAGAGGTGCAGCGGCATATGCCCTGTACCAAAGCCAAAGTATAGCCATCATGACTGGGCAACTTCGTTCTCCGTAGATCTGACTAATCCCCTTGGAAAGAGCCACCTAGATTGGAGGGCATCGCCACATCTTGTAGCAGCGCGTTGCACAGCTTAACTATGGATTAACAGATCCTGCCACTTGACCCCATCGCTTACTTACCTAGTAAGAAAAACCCAGTAAAGCCTAGCAAGCCCAGGAGTAGGGCGGGCTGACTTCCGAGCAAGTGTGTCCAAGCTTTTTAAGGTGCTGCGAAACACTTTCGCCCCGGCGCATCTCTACCCCTAACGAGCGGGAGCCTCGGTCGTCCTCCGCCGCCCGCTCGTGCGCTGACATTTTGCACCCTCCGCGGCCGCCGGTGGGAGGCAGCGCGCGCTCAGGAGTCCGGGCGATGGGCTGGTACCCACAATGCATGAAGAGCGGCCGCCGCAGGAGCGGGAGGCGGAGAGCGAGCGGCGGGGAGGAGGGCGGCATCCTCCCGGCTCCGCGCTCCCCAGGTAGCAACATGGCGCGCCCCGCCTCGCCGCCGCCGCCGCCCGAGCAGAAGCACTAGCAGGCCGCCGCCGGCGCATCTCCTCGCCGTCTTCCTGGGCCTCCCGGCGCGCCGGGCCCGGCCCCGCCCCGCCGCCCCGCCCCGCGCCCGGCCTCCTCGGGCTGCCTAGCCGGCCCCGCCAGCGCTCGGGCCGGCCGGCTTGCGCCCGCAGCGGCTCCAGCAGCACCATGGCCGCTTCCGAGCTGTACACGAAGGTGAAGCGGGGCGCGGGAGAAGCGCGTGGCGGGCGCGGCGGGCGGGCGCGGCGGGCGCGAGGCCTGGCCGAGGGAGGGAGGCCGGAGCCTCGCGGATTGCGCGGGGCGCCGGGAGAGAGCGGCCGTTGGGGTGCCTGGCAACGCCGCGGTGGGGGAGGGGCGGTTGCCAAGGGCCCGGCGGAGGCACGGGCAGGCCCGCCCCGGGCCCCGAGGGCGCCGCGGCGGTGCCAGCGCGAGGGAGGCTTGTCCCGCCGCCTGCTCTCGCTGCCCGTCCTCCTCCTCCCGCGCCTCCCGCAGGCAGATGTGTTTGCGGAGGCTGCTACTTCACTGGGGCGGAGAGGACGAGAGGGAGGATGCTGCGGGGACGAGGCTTTGTCCTTCGGAGAGGCCCCTTGCCCGGGTCCCTGCAGCGTTCAGGAGACGGCGGAGCTGGGCAGCTTCTTGTCGTCAGGGCTCCTGCGCTCGGAGCATCTTTCCGCCTGCAGCCCACCCACCGACCCGCCTCCTTCCTATGTGTGTGACCTGCAAGTGGAAAGAGGAAGAAGAAAGGGCTCGTTTTGCTTGCTCGTTTTGCTTGCGCGCTCACATACTGCCCCGTTTTCATGGCCGTCCCCCTCAGCATTTATGCCCTGGCTCTTAATGATCATAATCATAACGTCCTGTGAGACCAAGGAAGCATCGTCTAGTGACAGCTGGGAGGCCAGCAGCATTTCTTACAGCAGAAGCTCCAGGGGCGCCCACTTCATAGGGTGCACGACCGTTATCCTCGTGACGCTTGTCTGTCTTCGTGATAATCCCCACCACACGAATGCTTGAACCATTATCTTTTTGTATTCTGCTTGATAAGTGTGAGTCACACTCTGCTTCCTTATCATCAGTTACCTGTTATTCTGCAGTTCAGTTTAGAAGGGATACAGATGCTGGCCTCTGGTGATGTTTTGTTTTTCATTTTTCCCAAGGATGCACAGCTGGTTGTGGACAGCTAGGTTGCGCGGAGGGAGGGCCGAGTATGAGATGCAAGCAACTTGCACTGAGCAGGCAGAGGCATCTCTCTTTGGCACTTATGAATCAGGCTGTGATTCATGATAAAAATGACATTATTGTCTGAGCATACATCATCATGCTTCTCAAGCTCAACTTTATAACTCTCTGGCTGCAGATAAAGGTACCAGAGATGTAGCTAGTCATATCATGTTGACACGGCTGCCGTTTTGAAGGTAGTCATTTTAATAAGATGGCTGCATTTAGGAAAATCATTGGAGAAACACCTGCTCCGTATGTGTTCTTTTTAAATTGTAGCTCTTCCTGTTATTCCATACATGTTTGAAGCATTATTATGCTCAGTGGACTAGGAGAAGAAGGGCTCTGTGGACAGATCATGTCCCTGGTGATCATATACAAGGTGCTTTTCAATTTTTAGCGTATGGTATATTGGCATACAGTGTTTTCTAGCTCAGGATGTCGTGACCAAGTCAAGATAATGCTCTCCAAATACACTATTTGTTTTCCTGGTGTTACAGGGTTCTGTGAAGCCTGAATGGGACTGGAGAAGGAGGAATGCCAAATCCACACTTTTGCTTACTGAGTCTCCTTTTAGCTGTAATGCATGATGGTTAGTGTGTGGGATTGAGGACCCAAGATATCTAATATCAGCTTTGAAGAGTACTGGTTGACTTTGGGCCAGTCATTCACGTTCAAGCTAACCTATTTTGCAGGGTTGTTTTGGGTATAAAATGTAGTGGAGAATGATATGAGCTGTGGAAAGTTCCCCATAAGAAGAAAAGAGGCAGGATATAAATGCAGTGTAAAAAATAGCAATGATGCATTTTATATTTTGTTCTGAAAAGCCTGAATCTTAAGTAGGGAATTATCAGCCCAGTCATGGAATAGAACATGGTTCAGTTTTGATACATGAAGAATCATTGATCCTGCTATGAAAATGAAACAGGCTCATAAATTGTGCATGAAGAAAGATCAGCTACTAAGTTTTCTTTTACTTGTTTTGTTTTTTACTCTGTTTGGTAGAATGCAACTTGAGTTCACAAAAAGTTGTTGCATTACTGAAATCAAACTTTCATATGTTTCCATATAGATCATTTCCATGTTTTAGCTCTGTCCAAGAATGCTTGTGATAGATGATGATCATTGAGTCTGCAATCCAGTACACACATACCTGAGAATAAGTCCCACTGCACTTAGTGGAACTTACTTCTGAGTAGGCATAGGATTGTACTCTGAGTGCATTATTGAGCTAGCTATTTTTAAAAACTTACTTTAAGCATTTTGATCAGTGCTTCATTTCTGGAGCAACTCCTCCTTCTGGAGCAATAATGGAGTAGAATTCAGATACAGAGGAATGATAGTCTAAGATAAATAGAGACTGGGATGTAGGGTTTGATATGAAGCTCTATAATGATCTCAGGAAAATCAAGATTTTTGCTTGTTTTACATTCAGCCATTGGAAAGGGTTCCTCTTCTTTAGTCAGAGCAAGATTTTGAACTTTACTTCCAGGTAAGTGGGATTGCAGGCAGGCTGGCCTTCTGGTTCTACCTTGTCACTGGACAGCTCTGTGGAGTTGCAGAGCAAAAATGAATTTGTGTAGTATCATTCAGAGTCTATTATTCAGAATACGTTATTTGAATAAATATTCAATAAACCAAATTTATTTTAACTTCTTCACAATTGCCTTAGAATCTACATATTTAGGATTTTTCCTCCCTTTGAGACACATGGAAAAATCTTAGTAAGTCATATTCTCCTTGTCTTCACTTGGTCAACACTTTATGCCACCAGTCTGGATCAAACACATGGGTTTTGCTATGGCTCTGTGCCTACCACCAAGTCTTCCTTCAAAGCAAGAAAGGGCATAATATATGCCTAAAAAGCAAGAAAGGGCATAATATATGCCTATAACTGATTATTTTGTGAGAGGTCTGCTCATGTCATTTTAAGAAGAGAGGATCATTTAAAGAGCATTGCTGGCTAAGTTGAAAAGGCTGTTATGTTGCTTCTGTAAATCTTTGCAGGTTTAAATGCACTTAAAATCTGTGTTGGATTGTAGTCACTGTATTTATTCACTGCATACCTTTGCAAGGAGGGTGCAGTTGTGATGAAGCAGCATGATAGATGCTGAAGAAGCTTGATTTACACTGAACTTGATAATTGCATATTCTCTCCTTTAAAACCCCCCATCCAAATTGAAAATTATATATTAGCTTTTTTGTATTTACCATATTTTTACATTTAAACAAAATGAACATGTACAATGAAGAATGGAAAGCTTTTTGTCTGATTTCTGTTGCTTTCAAATAGATCTTTTAAAAGTACTGTATAGCATTACATTTTCCTGAAGCACTTTCTCTATTACTGTTTCATGAAATGCTTTTCACTGGATGACAGGTTTATATCCTGCCAAACTAATGGCTCCTTTCCTAGATTGTAAGCCTGCAAATAAATGTTTCAGGTGGGACATATTAATCATTGTGCCAGGAAAATATTGCAAATGTGTGTTATAATAGCATTGGAAATAAGTGAGACTAATGTATGATATTTGCAGTGTACTGAAGCAAAGTAGAATTCTCCTGCCACCCAGCATCATACTCTGTTAATCATGTTGCTCACATATGAAGCAAGTATTCAAAATCATGATATATACTGGCTTCTACAACTGGAAATATTTTAATCCATTTTTGAAACCTGGTTTTTCTCTTTTTCACTTCCTGCATGACACTTGATGTCTACAAATACCTCACCCTTTTCAAGTTCAGTCATATGACAGCAGGAGCTACAGCCTAGATAGGAACAGCTTGCTTTGAAAAACCTTCCATAAAATCACAACAGCATGGTAAAAAAAGAAATAGGCTTGGCTTTTAGCAATTCAACAAAGGCAGTGTGTGAAGAATGCTTAACTGACAGAAATGATTGGGAAAGGTTTATGGATCAGCTCCAGAGGTAGACAACAAGAATGAGGTTGCACTTTTTTCTTCTTCAAAGCTTGTCCTTTGAGTCAAAAAAAATCAACAGCTAAATCTTGGTTTAGAGTGGTTCATCTGAATACTTGCTTTCTGTTGAAGAGGAAATATCACTGTGGGTCAGCATGGCCGTCTGCAGTGCTAGAGATAGAAGTCTGTTTGTGAACACTTCGTTTTGTTGTACAGCTTGTTCATAGTGGATGCATTTTGTAATTCATATTGTACAGTAAATTGCTCCCCTGAAAATTGGATTTTTTTGCTCCATTTTTAAAAGAATGGAGCAAAATTCATTACTTGGGCTGTCCTGTAGAGAACTAATAGCACAAGAAAACCTTTTAGAATACCCTTACCTTTGTGTGCTTACCCATGATGACCCTTAGCAATGGCCATTTCTGACTACTGAAAAGGCTTAAAAAGACACTAGCCAGAGCAAGCACTAAACCTGGCTAGTTTAAATGCAGTGATTCATGAGAACATCTTGAGGCAATTGTTTCACTAGGGAGTCACCTTGAGTAGGGAAGGTGTGAGCTTTGGCCTTCCCCGCTAGGTTTCTTAGCTTGATACATGTTCAGTGAAATTCAGTAGTCTCTACATTCCTTACCCTTTGCATAATTGCCAGGAATCAAAAGAACAACTCTTTTAGCCATGTCTACTCATGGTGCAGGCTGGAATATGAAAGTGTAGGTGTGTTCTTTCATGACAGTGTGTATGCTTTGTGTACAGGGAGACTATATAAGAAAATCATAAGTGAAATAGCATATAATAAGGAATCCTGCAGCATCTTAAGAAGTTTCTTTGAATACATTCTTAATGAAGAATACTAGTCTTTGGCTCTTAAGTGCCTTTGACACAAAAGCAAAGCCAATTTACTTTGGGTGTGGCAAATGATCAGTAGATAAATGCTGAATAGGTTCAGATTTGAGAACTACTTACCACTCCCTTTATTCTGCTGTTTGGTGATGTTACACATTATATGAATCAGCACTTTGCAAGATGGTTCAGTAGAGAAGTTTGAAGGGCGTCACAAA